AACTAAGATTAATTTAGATATAAATGTTTTTTTCTTTACTTACCTAATTTAGTTAAAAATTATTTATTTTATATACACAATTATACCACCAAGAATTTATTAGTAATTTATTATATAATATATATTGAATATAAATTTTTCAGTGAAATTTAGTTCAAATTCGCTCACTTTCCTTTCATCCAACAATTCAAAAGAGCCTAACATTCTCGTATTCTTTTCTTTTTCTATCTTATCTTCTCCCTTCTCACTACTACCCCAGATCAAATGTAGGTCAGATAATAATAATGTTACATAGAAAAACATCATGTCATTCCTCCCAGCACGTACTCAAAAGCTGGACCAGGAGGTCTACCCTTTTGCAGCACGATTTTCATGCGTAAAATAGTCCCTACTAGGTTTTTCCGAAACACAGTATATCCATGCATCCTTCAAATATATCTATAAATATAAACTTAACATTTCTGCACAAAACACACACCACTCTCTCTCTCTCTACTAATTCTACATTATACCTTTGGAAGCCATTAATGGCTCGTTTGGTTTTCTTTGTGTTAATCTTTGCTGGGCAACTGATTGGTGGATTCAGTGCCCAAAAGCAGCCTCCGTCCAACAATGGAAAACTGATAACAATTCTGAGCATTGATGGTNATATACGACGAAATGTTTGGAGTTTGACAACAACTAAGAGGGGCCTGAATTTTTTTCTGATAAAACTAGTTTTTTTTTAAATGGACTTCCCTTTAAAAACAACTTCACAGTGAAGAAAATCAAGACAAGTAAGAACAAGTAAATAAAAGATCATAAGAAAGAACAACTTGCACAAGTAAATTTTATATTAGTTCAGATAAAAAAGATCTTACGCCTAATTGCTAATCTCTCTAAAAGAGGAATTAACTTATAACTAGAAATAAACCAACAATTTACAAAGTGAAGTAGAGTAGAGGTTGAGAAGTAAACCTCACTTGACTGACAAGAGAGTTACAACACCTCCTTTTGACACACATAAGGATGGACAAGCTAAACTTTGCTCAATAGATGTGTTACCACACTTAGACACACTAAGACCAACACTCCGTTCTACTTAGCACCAAGTTTCTCAACATAACTTAAAACACAGAGAGTTCTGACAAAACACTTAGTTCTAAAGAAAGTTTTAAGATTTCATAACTTTAGAAGAGCTAAAAAATAAGCTATATATAGGCTCAATTTGAAAATAAGTCAAAAGCTCAAGAGTCTTCTTACAATTGTCATGGATAATCGATTATCCCAAGTGATAATCGATTATCTACGAACGTTTTCAAAGTATTTTTCCTGAGATAATTGATTATCTCAAGTGATAATTAATTATCTACAAGCCATTAAAGGAGTTGTTCTTCTAGAATAATCGATTATCCCAAGTGGTAATCGAGTGTTTTTTGAGCTCTCTTTGCCTTGTTGTAATCTTGACAAAAATAAGTCTAAAATACAAAAGTTAATCTAGAATAAAATTACAAATAGTTAAAAATAAAAGCTTTAATATGATAACAGTTTTGCTAATCTTCAATCCCAAGGTCAGCTTCATCATCAAAACTCTTTTGCCTCCAATTCAACCTTTGTTGCTAACAATAACAAAATATATCAACAATAGTTTTATAACACATTATTGATTAAATTTCTTTAAGAGATTATTCCTTTTTAATCTAATTTTGTGAAATTTTTTGTATATATATAAATTTGCGAGAGAATAGATTGGATATTATTTGATCGCTAAATATAAGTTTCATTTGTTAACTACGGATTACTGACAAAATTATTTCGTAGCTAAAAATATTAAATTTTTTTCGAGAAATTACTATCGTAACAACATACATTTATCAAATCATAGTTAATTAGCTTCAAATTAGCTACAATATTTTTTGTCGTTATTTAAAACGAGAAATTAGTGAGAAATATTTTTCCTCACTAATTTTCCTAGCTAATTACCAATTTTGTTGTAGTGGTAGTGGAAAAAATCCTCCCAAACTTGTAAAATTCTATGAGGAAGAACAATAAAATAAAATGCCAACAATAATCATAAAAAAAAACAGCAATATTTTTAACGTGAAAAAGCCCTTCCAATGTGAGAAGTAAAAGTCCACAAGAACAAGCCAATAAATTAAACTCCACTAAAATCAAGCATAGGTACGACAAAGTCAAATCAAAAGCACAAACATATATTTATAATCAGTGAGTGTAATAATTCTCTCAAATATGAAGAACAAAGAAAATAAAAACCAAAATATAAAGCTACTCTAAAGAATTGAGATCTCTAACCTCAGACCTTGAATTGACGATCTCAAGGGTTAGAATAAACAACCTTACACCGCTAACATGCTATCAAAATTTTAGTCAAATCCAACGATGAACAAAGTAAGAATCATTGTTTTTTATAGTAAGTATGCAATAGAATTTCTACCAAAAAATTCTCTTTTTTCTCTCTCAAGATTATATTTTACATTATTTGGACATATTTTAACTTAAAAGATCCATTTCTCCTCAAATTAAATGGTGAAACAAAATGAATTTAATTAGGTTAAACTTTTTAGACTCGTAATTGGAAACTTCTAACTCAACATAACTTTGTAAGTAGATGATAACCAAGATTTTTTAAATTTATAAAAAGAAAATATTTTGTCTCGTAAACTTGTTATTTGTGGAATTGATAATAGAATTGATTTCAAATGGATTGAACATCTTTATTTTTTTTATTAGTTTGAATTTTATTCTTAACAAGATTCAACTTTCTATGTTTTGTTGTATTTAAATTTTTATAAAAATTTGCTTTGTATTTTTTTACATAGGTTTAGTGTTATCCCTTCATGTTTATTTTTTTTATTTAATGTTTCATTTCAAGAAAATTATAGATGAATTATTGAGTGTCAACCGTCAATAATTAAAAAAGTTTGTCAGAAAGAACAAATCATTTATAAAGATAGAAATATGAATAAGTTTCGATGATGTGATCCTATTTTATTTTTAAAGAAAAATAAAGATTTGTAAGTATTGATTGACAGACATCGTACTCACGATGCGCAAATTTAGTCACGTGGATTGTGAGTACGAGGAAATATTAAAAATAAATATAAGTATTTTAATATTCAAGTCACATAAACTCATAATAAAATTTAAAAAAAGAAATATATTCTAATTAGCTCTAATAAATTAGACCTGAATTGATTAAGTCTATATATACTAATATAAATAGTAAGAAATAAAATGATTAATTTAATAAATATTAAAAATAAATTAAACTTGTGTAAACTAAATTTAAATAATAGAAAATTAAAGTACACAAAATACTAGCTTTAATAAATATTAAAAAATAAATTTAACTTGATGAATTAAGTTTATATTAATTTCAATAAATGTTAAAAATAAATCAAACGTAGGTCAATTAGACTGATAAAAAAGTTAAACAAATAATTCTACTTTACTCTAAACTTAACATTAATAAATATAAAAATAAATTAAATAGACATTAATTAAAATATTTTATTTTGTTCTAATAGCTAGTTAATATAATTTTTAACTGAAACAATTATTAATAACTAATCGTTAATACTGTAACAATGCAAAACGTTTGGGACTTCCAATTTTAATTTTGGTTTAGCGGAATACTAAAAATTAGAGGAAGAGTAACCAAAAGGCTTGGAATCAAAGTCGAGGCAAATCAAAATTCAGATAAAGAACACACAAATAAAGGTCTAGAGTGATATTACTTGTTAAGAATTTTCAAAAAGAGGGGTCAATTTAGCCATCAATGTAATGTAAGGCTTCAAGAAAGAAAAAAAAATTTAAGAAGATGGTGATGAATCACAAAAACAATAACTGATGAAATTGTAAATATATTTAATTATAGTTTATATAGTTTTGTTATGAAATAGAAAATTTGTGTGGATGAGGTAAAATGATTTTTTTAGATAAAATAATTAAAACAATTGAAATTTAATAAATTTTGGAAAGTAATTCAAATGAATAAAATAAAATAATTTTAAATATTTTAAAAATTATAAAATTTTTATTACTTTTCATTCTACACATTGAGTGGAGCCAAATGAGTTTAGGTTAAAGACTCAATCAAATTGATTAAGACTAAAAACTTAGTCTTGCTTAGACTGAAAAAAGCACAACAAAGTTAAATTAGACTTAAAGTTCAATCAATACGAGTGGAATCGAACTTTAAGAAGAATTTGTATGAGTCAAAAGTTGAGATATATCTACCAACACTAATGAAAGGTCAAGAAAGATCATCGGATCAAAAATCTAATTAAGTGAGTCTAGGTCGAAAATCAAACCAAATCAATTTAAACTAAGGTCAAACCAAGTTGAACCCTAACCAAAAATCGACCCAAACGGAAGGTCAAACCAAGTCAGACTGAAACCTAAATTTGAGTTGAGTCAAACCAAAACCAAAAAAAAAATAGAGTGTAGACAAAAAAATTAAAACAAGTTGAACTAAGATTGAACGTCGACGACATAATTTAATGTCAACTAAGATTAATTTAGATATAAATGTTTTTTTCTTTACTTACCTAATTTAGTTAAAAATTATTTATTTTATATACACAATTATACCACCAAGAATTTATTAGTAATTTATTATATAATATATATTGAATATAAATTTTTCAGTGAAATTTAGTTCAAATTCGCTCACTTTCCTTTCATCCAACAATTCAAAAGAGCCTAACATTCTCGTATTCTTTTCTTTTTCTATCTTATCTTCTCCCTTCTCACTACTACCCCAGATCAAATGTAGGTCAGATAATAATAATGTTACATAGAAAAACATCATGTCATTCCTCCCAGCACGTACTCAAAAGCTGGACCAGGAGGTCTACCCTTTTGCAGCACGATTTTCATGCGTAAAATAGTCCATACTAGGTTTTTCCGAAACACAGTATATCCATGCATCCTTCAAATATATCTATAAATATAAACTTAACATTTCTGCACAAAACACACACCACTCTCTCTCTCTCTACTAATTCTACATTATACCTTTGGAAGCCATTAATGGCTCGTTTGGTTTTCTTTGTGTTAATCTTTGCTGGGCAACTGATTGGTGGATTCAGTGCCCAAAAGCAGCCTCCGTCCAACAATGGAAAACTGATAACAATTCTGAGCATTGATGGTGGGGGTATCAAGGCCATCATTCCAGCAACAGTTCTTGATTACTTAGACAAGGCTCTTAAGGTTCATTATTATTGCTAATACTACGTAAGAATTTGAAATGGCGTGAATGAATGATGTTAACGAGGTTAATTTGAATTTTGTTGAGTTGCAGGCTAAGGATCCAACTGCAGATTTAGCAGATTACTTTGATGTGATGGGAGGAACCAGCACTGGTTCAATCACAACAGCCATGTTAGCCACCCCAAGCCTTGACGATCCTACTCGTCCTGCTTATACTCCTGCACAGATAGTAGACTTCTACAAACTAAATGGACCTCGTATATTCAACCCATCTAGGTACAATAATATCAATATTAGAGTTGTTAATGCAGATTAACTCTATCTATTTTGTCTTAATTCGTAATTAATGTGTCAATAATAAGATGGAACTGTCAGAATAAAGTGAAACAACAATCTTAACATGCAGACCAGGAAACGGTCCCCTGTTCGACGGAGAGGGTTTACATGGCGCAGCTAGTGAAGCATTGAAGGAAACACGAGTTGGTGAAGCATTGACCAATCTTGTAATCCCAGCTTTCGATATCAAGAAACAAAAACCATTTGTATTCTCAAGCTACAAGGTTATATGCAGCATATGCATATATTTCTTCCTACATTAAACTCCAAAAACGAATTAATATAATGTTTTTTCTGATGCAGCTTGAGAAGGTTCCCTACTTAAATGCCTTATTGTCGGATATATGCATATCCACTTCAACTGCACCCACTCAGTTCCCACCTTACTATTTTGAGAATAATGGTGTTGAGTTCAATTTGGTTGATGGTGGTGAAGCAGCTGTGAATCCAGTAAGTTAATTTAGTAGATATAAGGTTATGATTTATCCTCCATGCATGCATATACCTATATAGATATACCATATGATGTATGTATGAAGTTTAAGAATGTTATGTTTAATATGAGCAGACACAAATAGCAGTGAGTGAAGTGCTACAGCAGAATGAGGATCCTGAAATTCTAGTGTTGTCTTTGGGGACTGGAGCTACAAAAATTGAGGAGACTTTTGATGCTGACCAGGCTGCCACATGGCCGAAACAAACATGGGCTGTTATTGATACCAATTTTCAAGGTCGTGCTTATACAGCAATCACTGAATACTATCTTTCTTCAATCTTCTCAGGTTTTCAATCTCGCAATACCTACCTTCGAGTCCAAGTAAATATTTCTTTTCATTACAACAAAATATTAAACTAATTACATTTAACTTTAACTAAATACTTTTTATTCCATATTCATAAAGTTTTGGATAATAAGTTGATGAATAAGGTAATGAATGGCAGGAATACGACTTGAATCCTGATCTCTCCGACCCAGTTAATGTTACAAAAGCAAGCTTGGACGGTCTTGAAGAGACTGGAAAACAACTGTTAAAGAAAAAAATGGTGACGTTTAATTTGGATACTTTTGATTTAGAAGAAGGCTTGGAAACATATGCTCAAGCTCTTGACAGGTGAAAAGAAAAAGAACAAATAACCTTTTAATTTATTTATTTATTATTTATAATTTTAATGGCTAAAACCTACAGTGATTGAGGCTTCAATTATGTTGTATTTTTCGATTCAATTTATATATAATATGGAATTCTATTTTGGTTTTATAATTTTGTGAAGGATTGCTGATATTTTGCATGGAGAAAGACAACGTCGTCGGAGAAGCAAATATATGGAAAAAGGAGGAAGACCATTTCTTGAAACCCTTGCTCAAGCAGATTGGGCATTCCAAAAGAACATACATATTTAATGTCAATTATATGACCTTGTTGTAATATCTATATAATAATACACTAGAACCATTAATAGTGTACCAAGCATTTTCCTATTATAAATAAAAAGGTTCCATGTTAATTTTAAGAAGTTCTTTATATATTTATTTAGCTTATGAGTCCCGATCTATCATTACATAATATGGAGATTGATTATATGTATATTTTACTTTGTTTGTATGACTTTGAGAGAATTCAATTATCTTATTTTATATTTTTTTTACTGATAAGAAAAAAAAAATGGAGACCTCATGTCACCTGAACTACTAATTGGTTATTGAAAAGTTGAAATGGTTACTTCCCATTTTAAAATCAAAATAAAAATAATATTATAAATTTATGTTTAATGTTCCTTTTCTGTAAACTCTTTTGATTTTGCAATATTACAAAAAATAAAAATATATCTTCGTTGCCATTGTTAGCTTATTTTATATCTTTAATTTTTATGATACGTACTAATAAAATTTTAATATTTAAGTGAAGACCAATATATATATATATATATATATACTAGAAAAATCAACTCATCATATTAGTAACAAATAGTACTATTTATAAATTAATCAATGATTATAAAGAACATTTTCAAACTTTTCAGGATAGTAATCGTTTATTCTTCTTCTTTAATTGAAATATAAAAAAATTTAACAGAGAATTCAACTTTCTTTCAACCAATTTCTTTTCAATTTAACTTCAGAGATTGACTCTTTAAAAAAAATTATAATTAGAAAAAATATTATTTAAATAATTGGAGCAACATAGTATTTAAATAAATTTTTTATTCATGTATAATATTTGGTAAAATAATTGAGATAATTGCAACCAAAATCATAAGACGAAGGAATCATAAAAATAACAAATTTAAAAAAAGATTTTTTGTTATAGTCACCATAATTTGTTTTAGAAAAATTATGAAAAATCATAAAATAAGACATATTTATGAAAATCAAATTTTGAGTTCAGGAGTCACTTACGCAAAAATAAGATATTAGTAATCTATTACATTTATCGAGAAAGCAGTATCTTTAATTAAATATATGAAGTTGATGTGGTTCTAAAAAATGTTTAATTTTCTCCAAAATAACACTCTAAAGAAACAAAAATATGTTTTTGGCCTAACAAGGATTCACCTTAAGGGTTACCTAGTTCATAAGAAACTGTTACAAAATTATTTTGGATTTGTTTTTTTTTGGAAGTGAATTCGACAAAGATTAACATTGCTCCTACATATCTTTATTTATGATGAAAAACTTAGGATCACGTAGTTCTCAATGAAAATATTGTTCGTTGAAAATGTTAATGTTTTTAGTTTTTGAAGATTTTATATTCTTTTAAGAATTTTGGCATATTTGTAAAAAATAAAGGTATTAACTATTAGGACATCACACGAGTATTCATACATTTGTACTCATACATTTTAAAATACTATTTAATTATTTAGAAAAAAAAATATTACGTATTAGTATGATGCGGACGAACGATCATACAAATACTCCTACCTTTAAAAACACAAAAAAAAATCATTTTTCGTTTTTAATTTTATAATCTTTTTATTATAAAAATAAAATAAGTCTTTAAAAATGAAATAAAATAAAAGTCTAAGATTTAAAATAACTCAAATAACACACCTTGAGCTACCTGTACTTTAGAATCTCCCATTTTTTATGTTCTTCTTGATTAGGTTGCCAAGCTCTCCAATTTGGTTGAGGATTTTCCTATTACAAAATAAGATACAAAATTAGAGATATAAATTAATAAATGTAGCCCAAAATAAAGGTATTTATAAAAGCAAAATAAAAGTGATGATTAAGTTACAAGTTAGAGAAAAATTGATTTTGTGAATAAAATGTGGCTTAGATAATGATAAAAATTAACATTTACAAGCAAGTTACCATCACAAGAACTTTTGTGACTTGTATTGTGGCATGGTTTTAAGAAAACTTAGACTTTATAGATACAAAGCACCTTGAGCTAAGAGAACAAACAAATAAAATCATGATATAACATAGATTTCTCTTTTACTCAAAACCAAATATACCCTTCCCAACTTATCTCCAAACTTTCGTTCATTAAACTCTTTTTTCTTTCTCTTTTTTTTTTCTTTCTTCTTCTTTCTTTTTGTTGTTATTTCAATGCTCCCTTTTTACATGAACTCCCCCAAACTTGAACTTCTTCCCTAATCTTGAATTTTATCTCTTCTTAACTTAAGGTATGGTGGTCAAGAACTTTTAATTTAGCTCAAGGTTTCAAGAATGAGAAAACTTTCCTTTTTGGATAAATATTGTAGAAGAGGTAAAAGAAAAATATGACATTGATCATATGTAACATGCAAGTGAATGGTTCAAAGAGAGAAACGCAAGAAAAATCAATTGTGACTCCAAAGTGATAACATTCAACAAAAATTCTAAGCCACAATATCTCACAAGTTTACTCAAGGTTTCAAAATTTGTCAAACACAAGGTCATGAGTATTGATCACAATAAAAACAATGCATCCATCAAAGTTAGGATAAATAAGAGCAACCACAATTTATGCTTAACAAGCTCAATCAACATCATCTCAATCAAATTTTTAAAGAAAAACTCATAATAGTAAAAAGCAAGCATAAAAGATTTTCAATCAAATCAAACATACATATCATTCACTTAAGTCATTAAACCAAATGCAACAAAACTATCCACCGAACAAGTTAAAAAGAGTTCCACAATTAAAACTAGAATTAAAAAAAAATAAAGCATGAAATTAAAACTCAAGTCTATCCACAAAAAGAATCCTGCAAAAGAGTCTCCAGCTACAACTTAAGAAATATTTTCTCCACTCCCGTCAAAGTTATAGTCATCTTCCTCCTCATCAGGCTCAGTTACATCAATTGTTCGATGATGTCGGTCGAAAGGAGGGATGAAGACATTCACCCTTGTTAGCTGACAAAGATGACTGACTAAGGAAGGGTGTCGAACAAGAGGTTTTGTACCAGAAGCATGAGCGCACTAGCATATCTCCTTAGAATAAGTTAGCCTACATCCACATATTTCCCACAAATGATGTTGTATAGGATGAGAGGCCGACCCAAGGTGATGTTAGAGACATGAAAGCAAGCAGAGAGGTTAGCAAGAATCAACATTGTTTAAAACTTATTCACCGGGGTAAGAACAAATCTCTTGATATGGACAGACTATTGTTGTTTGCTTCTTTGAAAGGCACCCCTTGGTTGACAAACTACTCTCTCAATCTCTCCAAAATTAGCTTTTTCTTTAACTAATTGGGTATACTAACATATATTGTCGCCCATTTGCAAATTTGTGCCAGAAAAAGAGTTAATTGCCTCTACATCAAAAGGAACATGTTTCCTCTACGCATAACTCAATGGAGGCTCAACTTCATCAGAGTAAGTTCTTGCATTTGCATAAAATTTTTTTATTATTTCATTGTTGGTAGGGGAAGGGTAGGCTCCTAAGTTGTTCAACCTCTTTTGAGAAATTCCTGCATAAATTCCGATACCTCCCCAAGCTTCAAAGCTTTCGTTCTCTCCATAAGTAATCTTCAGTTTTGCACCAAAGCAAATTTCTTTTCATGTTCCTTGGTGAGGAAACGATGGGAGTAAAATCTCTTCTTCTTCTTTTGACCCCTTGAGGGCTAGCTAGTGGTTATTTTGATCCTTTTAAAACAAGAGGAAGATGCCATTATGTAAAAAAGACATTCAGAGCAAACGTAGTATTTCCAGGTAAGTAACTAGAGAAAGGTTTAACAAAATAAGTATACACACATATGTACACGAGTTAGAAAACAAGAAATATTCAAAATAAAATGCAAACACAGAAAAACATAAAAAATGGACAGCACAGAAGGGCCAGGGCCAATTTGCCCTAAGTCATTGGTGTTGAGCGCCTCAAACAGGCTGTTGAGCGTGCATCAAACAGAGGTTCTTTGGAACGTGAGTGTTGAGCGCCCTTACCATACCTTTGAGTGGTAGCGAAGCATAGGCTAGAAACCCAAGAGGAAAGGAGCAAAACAACCATTGACAACATAAAACAAGGAAAAATGCAGAAAACGATGATAAATCAACAATTGTCATTATTACCTAAAAGATAAAGAAGAGTTAAACAATCGTTGGCAAAGAAAAGTTGAAGGCAAAGGTGAAAATGACAAGCAAGGCCACTTGTATTTATATCCAAAAGGAAGCTCCCTATCAATCATCCTCAACCGTTGGATATCCAACAACTCTCAACATCAGACTTTGTGAATTCTGATTGTCGTAAGACTCGAAGTGCCATACGTCTTTACCTCAATGGTAATATTTGAAATTTTTGAAAATTGTTAACCACTTAATTGAATGGTCCAAAGGCTAACCAAACAAGTGACTAGGGTCGAGGCTACTTCATAAAAGATCGAAAGAAAGAAGCCCCATCTTATTGCAAACCCCTTCATCTGTCATGACAAGCTCAGACTTAGGAGGCATGTGTATCGTATGATCGTCCGATCAACAACAAACTAGACAGTCAATCGTTAGTCGGACTCCTCCACAAACCATCCTCGTGACCAGACAACCATAAAGACGAACTAAATGGTCAATTGACAGAGAGTTTAACTCTAATGCTGAATAACTTAAAGTAAAATGTGATTACCACCAATTAGATCGCAATTAGGCCATTGCTAAAAAAATGCCCACTCCAAAATCTATAAATATAGGTTTAAATTAAGGAGATAAGTGATTTTGCATTTACTATGACATTAATATTTGAATCGTTAAATGTTGAACCAACTTTAGCATTGAAGCATCTTTTATAGAGGTTTCTGAATGGACAAATAAATATAAAAAATTAGAAGCAAAGGATATCATTTGGATCCTTTAAATTATTATCTAAATGTTAGACGCTGACCTCGATCCTACACCTGAGATCCTATATCCAAAACAAAGTGTTATTATAATAATTTATAATAATAAATTAAAAATCATTCACTTTTATTTTAATGGTTTAATACATCATTTGGTCCATACTGTTATGGGTTTGGTTCAAAATGATCCTATCTTTTAAAAAGGTTCAATAAGGTCCCATAATTTGTTAAAAAATGTTCAATCCGGTTATTTTCATTCACGCCGTTAAAAATCTAACGGTGCAAGTGCCACCGTGGCCAAACCTGACTGAGCTATGAAATTTGATAAATACGTTGCAGTGTTAAATATTTTAAAAAATTAAAAATGACGTAATGTAGGTGACACATTACTTTTTGTTCCTTATTTTGATTACAAGAGAGACACTTGAAGTTGCAGTACGGCCACCGCCACCGTCACCACCTATTTCTTCCCAATCGACGGCAACACCTTCCACAACCCCAAAGTAGGGAAATTTATGCAAATTTGGATCTACTAAAAGATGAACTTTGTTGGACCTGTGGGAACAGAAATAATCTGGAACTGCTATAGTTCATTAGTAAGATTTCAGCAATGGTCTAAGGATTGAGGGAGGATTTGCAAGTACATCACTCTCCCATAACAATTTTGTAACGGTTCCACCAGATTGATTTTGTATACCCCTTCTAACCAAGAAAAGGTTTGAAAAACATGAACATCTTTTGTAATGTTCATTGACTTATTACTATTTATTTTGGAATGTAGTGTATCATGGATCTAGTTGCTTTATCAAATAATAAACCATTTTCTGCATAAAAACAGAAATATATCCTTTGAAGCCTTGCCTAGGGTCCATTTTCTTGAATATTTCAATTACACCAGTGTTTTTTAAATACCCACTATAGTGCTATCGCATGTGTTTATGCACACTCATAATTTATATTAATTCATGTATTTAATTCAATTAGAGATTTATTGTTCCAATAATTCCACGAGTTCAATACTATATTGGGTTTTAGTAACATTGAGAAGAAGTGATGATAAGCGGAATGGATTTATTTGCTATATAATGCTATTATTTTTATTTTTATTCTAATATTTTTATTCATATATATACCATACATATAAACTGTTATGTGACTTCTATCATATGTCTGCAATGTTATCTGCTGTATGACAATGCATTTCATGTAGACACTCAATCATTTTCTAGATCAGTATTGGTGAGAATTGCCTTCCACTGGAGATTCACCCTCCAAATACAAAAACACAAAGACGAAAATTGTTTCCACTGTTTTCTCTGGTCTACAAAGTAGTCACATGTCTAATCTTTTCCCTTTTTAAATAACTTATTCTTAATTTACTAATCATGTCTATAAATTCTAATGCACTAATCAATCGCTCAGAAACACTCTAATTGGTTTGTATATAATATAAGATGATAATATACACTCCCATATCTTCTTTTTTCTTTATATTGCATCTCTTTAACCCTTTAAGTTAAATTCAAAAGGAAAAGGGACTCTCACCACCACACTATGTCATCTATTATGCCATGATATTTTCCCTTTCTATGTTTCTCTTTTTGGTCATATTTGTTTACAAATGTGATTTCAAAGTATAACATTTATTAATAGAAAGATCTTTTGGTAGGTGCTCTTCCAACTGCCCTCATGAGGTTGGCAATCTCCAAAACCCTGGTTACTTTTGTGCCTCTCTTAGCCTATGCTGATGTCTTCCTCTCCTCAGCTTTTCTGTGATATTTTGCTATCTTATTTTGCATTTTCTCCTCAGATTAGGACCACTTACCTCATGCATGTACGCTGTTCCAATTTCACTTTGAAGGAATCACCACCCAACACTCAATAGAAAACCACTTGCAGCACAATGTTGAACCCAAAAATGGCCAAATTAGTCTTAGATAAGAGTAATTTTGCTTTAACCCACACTTAAACCTACCACCCAATTTACGTCAGTTTATTTTTTTAAAATATTTCCACCAATTCACTTCACAGTGCCACATAATCATCCAACACAACAACTCACTCAGATTTGGCCACAGTGGCATCTGCACCGTTATGTTTCTAACGACGTCCACGAAAAGGACCGAATTGAACACTTTTAAACAAAATATGGAGTCTTACTGAATTTTTTCAAAAGGTAGGACCATTTTGAATCAAACCCCAAAACTAGGGAATAAATGATGTATTAAACCTATTTTAATTGGTTGTCCCAATAAAAAATTGTGTTTTATTGAAAGAGATGGTATACTGTTTTAGACATTTTTCAAATTGCTATTATACATTTATGAATTAATGTTAATCATTGTGGGATATTGGTATAATGTATTTCTGATTTTATTATGATAAATATCTTTATACATAGTGATAATAATAAAAATAAGTTTCCTATAATAAAAATATTTTTATTAACGTGAAGCAAAATGAACTATTTTCGATCTCAATGCAGAAAATATTATTTCAAAACTTCCATATAAAATTAGATAACGAATAGATTATATTTATATTTTTTTTTTATAAATAAACGCTTATATAGTAAGAGGGAGATTAATCATATATAAAATCTATTACAAAGGTTTTCGGATTCCTTTCTTTCTCTTAAATTAATCTTCTATATATAAGTGACAGACATTCTTTTTTTATGTTTAAGCCATTATTTATTTGCAAATTAAACGTAAGAATAACTACATGACGCTTTAATGTGCTGATTGAATTATGCACTATGTATAATTAAAATATGATTTTAATTAAAATTATATATTAAAAATGGTACGTTAATTATTTTTGTGATCATATGAATTAATGATGAAATTTTACCTTTGACAAAAGTTCTTTTGTTTCAATAATTGTGTACATAATTTATGTTACAATATTAAGTTGTGAGAAATAAAAAATTATAAATTTAAAACATACAAACTAATGTTTAAATAAACTAACTGCTAATTATGTTATTCTCTTAAATATCAGTTTTAATAATTGAGTCATATGCTAATAATTAACACTATCTATTTTATGTCCATTTGTGTTCAGTCTATTATAAATAGATAACGGGTGAAAGTAATATCAAACAAAATGTTTCAAAAATTGGGTTTCTCAACTATTTTTTTATATCGTTTTGTTTAATGTCCATTTGTCATATTTTTAAAACTACATTGATATTGATATTTTAAAATATTTTTATTTTTTAATATAATACAAAACAATAAAATCAATGTAACTTATATACAACATAAAATCAACATAAATTCATAAAAAAAAATTAAATTATAATGCACTTGTTAAAGCATGAAGAGTTACCATAAATTATCTATGCCATGTTATATATTTTCTTATATTACTTTACCCTTTATTCTGATATGGAAGTATTCACTTTATATTTGGTACATAAACCACTAAAACTAAATATTAAAAATCCTGATTTTCAGGATATCAATTTTGATAATTGATTTGGTATACATATTTTAGTGATGGACTCCTATTTTTTTTATCGTATAATTTTATCTTTATTGTATCAGTAAATACTTATAACTGCTTTTATTATTTTATAAATGTGTGAAATCTTTGTTGTGTTAATAGATTAATGTATTTGTATGATAAAAAATAAATCTTTAAACAAAAAGTTATTTAATAAATTGGTTTCATTAATTATAAATTAATATATATAAATTAGCGATGAAGTAAATCACAACAACTTAACTTACAAATGAGATTACAGTGGTAAAGGTCAAAGTTGAAGTATACAGATACTTTGAAAGAGGGAAAGAATTGGAACCTGAAGGAAGTAGGAACTGCAATTTCTCATTCCGTGTTTTTCTCAGATTTTGCGTAAGTGAACTCAAACTATCTTCAACCTATGTCGTTTTGATCCTCTCTTACTGTCGATTGCTGGTTTTAGGTGCAAAACTAGGGAGAACCCTAGTCTCTGTGAATGCTCTACTGCGTTCTTCAATTTCTTCTCCAAAGATCGTTTCTTTTTCACGCATTTCTCAACTCAAAAGGCAACCCTCAATTACTCTCTAGCAATTTTATATTCATACCTTTTATTTTTCCCCAATGGTTGAGGTTTTGGTGGTTTTGCACGCTTTTTGAATTTTGGTTCGCTCTTCCCTGTGCAATGTGGTTGATCTGCCTCGGATTTTTATTTTCGTTGGTCTTCTTTTACAATTGTTGCTGTCGATTGGGGCATGGATTTCTTAAATAGTGGAAATACATGAACTTGGTCGTTTTAATGTGAGAGAGCAGTTCTGTTTGATTGTTTATATAGAATGGCAGTGTGTATGGTAGTTACAATTTTCTTTTAGTTTCGGTTTATTGTGAATTTCATTGGTGATGTAATTTTGTTTAATTGATTGATGATAGGGTGGAACACTAATAGATAGAAGGAAGAGAAAGGATTTGATTTTGGTATTACTTAATTTTATGTTTTTTACCTGGAGGGAAAAATTTAGGTATTTCAGTGATTGTTTGAATTTGAACTCTACTTGTGAATTTAATTGGTAGTTTGTTGGAAAGATCTTTTAAGAGGGATGGAAGGATGAGATAAAATGAAAGTAACATACAATTTGGACCAAAGAGTTGCGTAGGTCTATGAATTTGCAAAAGTTATTTTAATAATCTTTAGTATTCTCTTCACTTAAAAGATCTAACCGCGTGCTTATCCTCATTGATACATCTTAGTTCATACTTCATTTGCAATGGAGCTGTTAATACTTTATTGGGTGCATTTTCTTACTCATATTCAATGAAAATAGAGGAAAGTTGCTCTGGATATTTTGTACTTCAATCTAAGTAATAATATTGTTAACTATTTTGCGATATCTATTATCTTCTGCCAATAAAATTATCATCATTTTTATCTGTAAGAGTTTTGTTAGTGGAACAAATTTACTTCAACACTTATTTCACAGGTTGCCCTTATAATATAGTGATATTTATGTCGTGTTATACTTTCTTTTTCTTACCCGCTCCCCTTTACTGGTTGGATTTACATGTAAAAGGAATAATGAGATTGTTACCACATTTTTATAATATCTTAATTGCATTTGTTTGTCGGAAAAAAGTAGAAATTATATAGAACTCAAGGTGTACCCTTGTGTGGTTTGCTACAGGATAAATGCTTATGGGCAGTTGAGTATTTGATTTAATAGCAAAGGTGTATAGAACAGTTGAGTATCTGAGGGAAGGTGTTTTCATTTTGGGAAGGCTTATCTATAGTGGTCAATTGATGCAGTGGTTTCTAACAGTAGTCATAATGGCTGCATTAGTAGCCACAAAAGTGTCTTTTTGCATTGTGTTGTGGCTCTATCATGATATATTTTGACTCCAGAAATCCATTTATACACCCTGAACTTTGTTTGGGTATTTTCGGGGGAAGTATTCTACATAACCTACCTCTTTTCTGACTCTATTCCTTCCCACCTTTTAGGACTACTTTTATACTGAGTTAGTTTTTTCTTCCTTTAAATTTACAGCCACGTTTTTTTTTCCATCTAATTTGTCATGTTCTTTTTTCTATTAATTTCACCATCATTTTCCTTATTTTCTTTTTTACTTCATTAACATGTTCTTATTGCTCATACGTTGATTGTGATTGTTTGCAAACCGTGACTATTTATCTTGAGTTTCTTTAATTTTGTTTTTATTTTTTTTTTAGTATTTTATATTTGCATGGAGTAGTACACATTTTTAGTTTGCAGTATATTCAAATTAGTGGTCAGTGTGCTTCCTGTTATAGTGATTTTAGAGAGTTATTTATCTATGTATGGGTATCTGGTAACTGGTACCTATGGCTTTATCGTGTGTTGTCATGTGGAGTTGGATATTCATGAAACTTTATGACTGCAGGTTGGCACAACTTTTTATGGTTCTGTTTGTAGATTCTAGGGTGGCTGAGGGAAGATATATTGTTATTACAATTTCATGGATGAGATATATATTATTAGTTCGTCAGATGATGATGAGTTGGAGGAGATAGATGTTCAAAAGAGAACTCTTCCAACAACTAATGAAAGGAGTTCAGGTGCGTGATCTTTAGTAAAGCTCCCTTGTGATATATATAATTTGTAGTAATCATCATACCTGCAATAATATATGCAGATTATGGTCGGCGGCATACTTCAACAGGGGCTAATAGTTCAAACCTAAGTTCTTCTAGTTTGTATAATCATTCACAAAGCAAACCTCTTACACTACCTGTGTCCAGTACCAATGCACTAAACCACAGAATTGTGCGAAGAGATGAACCTTCATACCATGCTCAGAATGGAAATACAAGTCCGCAACAACCAGTTAATTCCCGAATTTCAAAGTCTCATGGTGCAGATTATGAGAAAATGTCATCTCATCAAGCTTTCAAGAGGACCCTTCCTTCAACTCTTCAGCCTTCTGTAACAAGGGCTCTTCCTTCTCCTTTATATGCACCAGACATCCGATTAAGCAACTTAAAAGATAGCACAGACAATAGTCATCTTCATGATACATATAAGAATCGTCGCCAGGGAATAGGGCCTAGCATATCCGGTGATAGGGCCTACATTCGTGATAGTTTTATCAGGGGCTATGACGAAGGTCATTTATTGTATCAAAATGGTGGGAACAGGATTCTTCCATCATCTTTGGTGCTTGGAAAGGCCATAACTCCACAAACTTTGAATGTCACATATAGTGAATCTGCATATCGTTCTGGAATAGGTGATGAAAGGTCTGCCGAAAATGACGAGAGACTTATTTATGAGGCAGCATTACAGGTATTACATGATGTTTATCATTGTGTTTGTATATTTAACACCTTAAATTCTTAAAGTTGTATGAAGAAAATAATCACTCTGTTAGTTTGAGCAGAAATCAACTAGTTGACATATTTTATCTCAAGTTTTATGAAAAATATTTACTTGAGTTTGAATCTGTGTTTAGGACTTGTATGTGATGGGTTGTCAAAGTTGACTGATTGGGAAATTCGTGGGATCTACTATTTCTCACCTATTTCTACCCATCTCTCTTTCCCTCTCCTATTCCCTTTCTATTTTTCTTCAAACAAACACCTCTAATGCTCACTTTATTTCTCATCTATTTCCAATCTACCTGCTTTTTTCTATCTTACCTTTTTCTCTCACCTCTACCAAACATACTCTAAATGAAGTAACACCCCACAACAATAGTTAGTGTGGAACGGACAATTAGTTCTAAAGTAAAACAGTTAAGCCAAATGTTGAGTTTCACTTGGTTTAGTGTTTAATCTTATGCTTTATTGATGTTTGTCCTACATCAATGTGATTTGTGGAAGCTGCTTCAAATTTTCTTTTTCAGTGCTCGCATCAGTATGTGTTGTACTCGTAGAGAATCATAATTGTCAATTGTGAATTTGGTTATCACAGGATATCAGTCAACCTAAAACAGAATATGACTTACCTGCTGGTGTATTGTCTGTCTCTCTTCTGAGACATCAGGTATCTGGATTGTGTATTCAATTTCTTTTATTATTTCTGTTCTGGACCATTTATTTCTGAGTACTTTATATTTCAGAAAATTGCATTGGCTTGGATGCTTCAGAGGGAAACCAAAAGTTTGCATTGCTTGGGGGGGATTTTGGCTGATGATCAGGTCAATGTTTGGTGATAATTTTTTTAAGCTACAGCACTTTATCTTTAATTCAGATTATTGTTACCTGACTATGAAAACCTTGTTCAAGCAGGGTCTTGGAAAGACAGTATCAATGATTTCCCTCATTCTGGCATTGAGGTCATTACAGTCAAAATCAAAAACAGATGATGTGTTCAATCATAAAACTGAAGCTTTGAATTTGGATGACGATGATGACAATGGTGGTATAGATGTGGAAAAGCATAAAAATAGTATGGAAGCTGATGATTTGTTTCCTAGTAGAGAACCTAGCAGTTCAACACAGACACCTGGTAGAAAAAGGCCAGCTGCTGGTACCCTAGTTGTCTGCCCTGCCAGTGTTATGCGACAGTGGGCCAGGGAACTTGATGAGAAAGTTGGAGATGAAAAGCTTTCTGTTTTAGTTTATCATGGGGGCAGTAGGACTAAGAATCATGTTGAACTTGCAAAATTTGATGTGGTTCTAACAACATACTCTATTGTGACTAATGAAGTTCCTAAGCAACCATTAGTTGAGGATGACGATATTGAGGACAAAAATGGGGAAAGATTTGGGTTATCTTCTGAGTTTTCTGTTAAAAAAAGGAAAAAACAATTTAACGGAAATAAGAAGGGTAAAAAGGGTAGAAAAGGAATTGACAGTTCTACGGAATGTGGTTCTGGTCCTCTTGCAAAAGTAGGTTGGTTTAGGGTTATTCTAGATGAGGCTCAAACAATAAAAAATCACAGAACTCAGGTGGCTAGAGCTTGCTGCAGCCTTAGAGCCAAAAGAAGGTGGTGCTTATCTGGAACACCTATTCAAAATACTATTGATGATTTGTATAGCTACTTTAGATTCCTGAAGTATGATCCTTATGCTGTATATAAATCATTCTACAACACCATAAAGGTTCCTATATCCCGAGATTCCATTCAAGGTTACAAGAAACTTCAAGCAGTTTTAAGGGCCATAATGCTACGTCGTACAAAAGGTGAATTTACTATATTCTGATTTCTCATGCACCAATTGACGATGGGTTGTACATGTTTACCTTTTTGCCGGTGGTATGGGTTTTCAGTCTCATTGCTAAATTCTCATTGATCTCTACTTAAGTCTAGATGTCAGTTTTGGTTTCTCACTTCATCTGATAAGGGGACTACTTATTCCTGCATCAAGAAAGGTAGCCACTTTGGTGTAGTGTTGCAAGCCCTTCTATAGCATATTAAAAAACTGTTTTTTGGGAAATCTTTTTTTCTCTTAACTTGCTCCACTGTAAGTTAGCTACGTGGGCTTATATTGGGTAGTTTTCGGATGACCTGCCAATGCAGGATCACACAGGGATTTAATCAAAGACCATAACATAAAAGCAGATCTGCTAGGATACTTTTCCTTCATTGCTGCTGGATTAGTGAATTTAATTTATTTACAATTAAAGTATAGTCTGTGCATAATATTGCATTGTCAGTCTGTTTACATTTTTTGGAAGATTTTCAGATGTTTTTATATGATGGAATTATTCCTTTTATTTACCGAACTCATCCCAATTTCTATTACCATTCCCACTGTGTAGAATGTAATAACTTAATCCTTTTTCTTTATGTTTGATTATGAATGTAATATTATTTGTTTTAGGGTGTGGACAGAACATTTCAGCCATCTAGGTTTTGATTTGTGTATTTGAGGCGAATTTCCCTTTGATTTATAGTCAAATATAGTATGAGTATTGGTCTTTTCTGTTATATAACATCAATTTATTGCATTTGTCTAGGAACTTTGCTTGATGGGAAGCCAATAATCAATTTGCCTCCTAAAACAATTGAGCTCAGTAAAGTGGATTTCTCCATTGAGGAGCGAGCCTTCTATACTAAGTTGGAATCAGACTCACGCAATCAATTTAATGTTAGTTCTTCAAATTGGTTTATATTAATACCAAGACTTTTTGTAATTATACTTTTTTGTTTCTTTTAAGTGCAACATCTATAAATGGCTTATATGCTTCAAGTTGAGGGGTAGTGTTATAATTATAAAATCAAGAATATCTAGATTAGATATGTATCATTAGGGACAGTTTAATTTATTCCGTATCATATATTTGTTATTAGAGGATATAAACTCTTCTTTATTTATTGTATTTCTTTTCTCAATATAAATATTGCACTTTGTGCTGTCTTAGAAACACGGTTTCATCTCAATGTTTCTCTCTTCTGTGGTGTTTAACAAAATTGATGTCAGATTATTTCTTATAGATGTTCTAAAATAACATTAAGATATTCCAATACATTTGGTATTTTGTGTGTATGTATATGTGTGTATATTCTCGAAATTCTAACAAGCTAATAGAATGAATCAAGTCCATCACACATCCTATTTAAGAAACTAGAACATAACACAAATACCTTGGATAGCACACATCACATACTGTTTGATCATATGTTTAGAGCACTCAGGTATAGGATATTTTTAATGGTAAAATTTTAAATTAATGTAGCTGTTGAGTCTTTTAATAACTAGTTCTGAAATGCATATGATTATGCAATTAATATAATTTCATTGGTGATTTTCTTAAATCTTGCATGATTACTAAATTGTTTTACTTCCATAAACAGGCAGAAGCTTCAGTTTTGTACTTATTAAAAGCCTGATAAGTGCATTTCTGTCAGATTCCCCACCTTGTTGCATGGGTGAATCAGTTATGGGTTGTCATACACTTAATATATAAGAAGTGCTGGGTTGGTGGGGTTTTTAAATTTCCCATATCATTCTTTGTATCTAATTTATCAAAATGTAGCATACATTTGTGTAAATTATAGAATTATTTTGGTTCATTTGATTTTTATATTTCTGAAGTATTGTGGATCTGACACTTAAAGCTCGTGCTTTGTAGGCATATGCTGCTGCTGGGACAGTCAATCAAAACTATGCTAATATTCTTTTAATGCTCTTACGTCTCCGACAGGCTTGTGATCATCCACGTCTTGTTAAAGATATTGATTCTGATCCTGTTGGGAAGGATTCTGTTGAAATGGCAAAAACTCTTCCAAGGGAATTGCTGATTAATCTGTTTAGTTGTTTGGATGCAACCTTTACTATCTGTCATGTTTGCAATGTGAGTTAAGTTCAGATGCTATATTTTTTGGTATTTGTGTCATTTGTTATGAATATGATGGTACTCTAGATCCTTTTGGTTATATCTTATATAAGTTATGGTGTTTTCTTCCTATATTGTGCGATTTTTAACATTTGGAAGTGGACTTTTAACTGAAATTTGTATGGGTATTTTTTTAGGAGTATGGTGCATTTTGCACTTCCCATGGACGTTGTTTGTTTACTAAATTGGGTTAAGTTGAACACCTGTGTTCTATTTAAGTAATGTGAATATAGTTATGAGTTTAGCAAAAGTTGTTGGTTTTTCAAAAATAGACATGTTTATTATCCCAAACAAATAAGAAATAGTTTTAGGGAAATGCTTTTCTATTTAAAGATGTTTTAGTAGTGCAGGAAAACATCCACAACTGTCAATTGCATCTCAATGCATTTCACACCTAATTGTTTTTAATCTTAAGTTTACTGCTGTTATCCGTGTCTCAGTATTATTTTTTCATGCAACTGACATTTTTGTTGATAAAAGAAAAGTTCATTGAGATGGAGAGATATTATACAAGGATATTATCTGCTTTTTAGTGGTACTATATTTTATTGATTGAATGTTGTATCTATGTGACATTTATCATAATTGCTTAGTTGAATTTTGTTGGTAGTAGAGAATTATTAGGATAAAAATACCTTGAATATCTCCATATTGATTATGATAAGAAGTCTCTAGAATATTCATATTCATTTAAGCTTATTTTTGTTTAATTAGTTTAAGTTTGATTGTTACAAATAAAGGGGATGAAAATGTAATTTGTTTGATTATTGTCAATAAAGTAATTCTCTATTGCCCTACACAGTTCAAGTTGGTATTAGGGCTCCCCATATTGTGAGTTCTGTTTCCGCTACCACTTAACCCATTGACACAGCTGGTGTCTGCCCTGCCTCTGTTGTTGTTGAGGTTAATGGCAGCCTAGAAAGGTGCAACTCATATTGGCGATCACAATGTAGACAACTGTTTTGCCGACAGAGTTGCCAAATGTTGTCACATGCCCTATTAGTACCGGCGTGTGTAGCCCAAGCCCCTTGCTTTTTGATGGTCACTCACCCCTGCCTTTACAGACAGGGTCATGTCCTGAGCCTATTCCACGGGGTACTGGCTTCCCTTTTGGCTCTGATCAGAGTAAATATGAGTTTTCATTTTGTGTCAAACAAGTCTTCTTTGTCATGTGATTCTTTCACTGTTTGTGGTAAAGTTCATCACATTGCAGTACATTTAGAGGATTCTCAAGGGACAGTCAAGATTAGAAAATGGTGGAGGGTTGATGTCCAATGTCTCTAATTTTGTGATTTCTTTGCTAAAGGGATATGTGATGACTTGAATAATACTTTTTCTTTGAAGAAGGATTTGTTGCATGCTATGAGATTGCGAGAGTAGGGTGTTTAATTCTTAACGTGTTTCCCTCTCTGCATTGGAATATTATAGAACTTTGAATGGGTTGTGGATTGAACTAAATCATTAGCACCAAAATTTGAGGATATACAAAATAGATGTCACCACACATGCTGAAGCCGTGAGGTAAAATCTTTAAATTCCTACATGAATATGACCCACCCAATAAACCTACAAATCTTAGGGGAACGAAAAATTACCTCGTCTACCAAAAGTAATTTCATTGTAAGGGTAGAAGAAACTTGGATGATTCTCATGTTTGAAGGAGGAGATACATGACTATTACCGACAATCCAATACGACATGATATGGGATAACAAATAGCAGACACTTACATTAATGAGCTACTTCAGGATAGATTCTAGGATCTTGTAAATAAGTTGGAAATGATGGATCTTTATTTACCGACTTGAGAGAGTAATATAAATAACAGATTATTGGGATAAAAATATCATCAACATCTCCATATTNGTTTAGGACTTGTATGTGATGGGTTGTCAAAGTTGACTGATTGGGAAATTCGTGGGATCTACTATTTCTCACCTATTTCTACCCATCTCTCTTTCCCTCTCCTATTCCCTTTCTATTTTTCTTCAAACAAACACCTCTAATGCTCACTTTATTTCTCATCTATTTCCAATCTACCTGCTTTTTTCTATCTTACCTTTTTCTCTCACCTCTACCAAACATACTCTAAATGAAGTAACACCCCACAACAATAGTTAGTGTGGAACGGACAATTAGTTCTAAAGTAAAACAGTTAAGCCAAATGTTGAGTTTCACTTGGTTTAGTGTTTAATCTTATGCTTTATTGATGTTTGTCCTACATCAATGTGATTTGTGGAAGCTGCTTCAAATTTTCTTTTTCAGTGCTCGCATCAGTATGTGTTGTACTCGTAGAGAATCATAATTGTCAATTGTGAATTTGGTTATCACAGGATATCAGTCAACCTAAAACAGAATATGACTTACCTGCTGGTGTATTGTCTGTCTCTCTTCTGAGACATCAGGTATCTGGATTGTGTATTCAATTTCTTTTATTATTTCTGTTCTGGACCATTTATTTCTGAGTACTTTATATTTCAGAAAATTGCATTGGCTTGGATGCTTCAGAGGGAAACCAAAAGTTTGCATTGCTTGGGGGGGATTTTGGCTGATGATCAGGTCAATGTTTGGTGATAATTTTTTTAAGCTACAGCACTTTATCTTTAATTCAGATTATTGTTACCTGACTATGAAAACCTTGTTCAAGCAGGGTCTTGGAAAGACAGTATCAATGATTTCCCTCATTCTGGCATTGAGGTCATTACAGTCAAAATCAAAAACAGATGATGTGTTCAATCATAAAACTGAAGCTTTGAATTTGGATGACGATGATGACAATGGTGGTATAGATGTGGAAAAGAATAAAAATAGTATGGAAGCTGATGATTTGTTTCCTAGTAGAGAACCTAGCAGTTCAACACAGACACCTGGTAGAAAAAGGCCAGCTGCTGGTACCCTAGTTGTCTGCCCTGCCAGTGTTATGCGACAGTGGGCCAGGGAACTTGATGAGAAAGTTGGAGATGAAAAGCTTTCTGTTTTAGTTTATCATGGGGGCAGTAGGACTAAGAATCATGTTGAACTTGCAAAATTTGATGTGGTTCTAACAACATACTCTATTGTGACTAATGAAGTTCCTAAGCAACCATTAGTTGAGGATGACGATATTGAGGACAAAAATGGGGAAAGATTTGGGTTATCTTCTGAGTTTTCTGTTAAAAAAAGGAAAAAACAATTTAACGGAAATAAGAAGGGTAAAAAGGGTAGAAAAGGAATTGACAGTTCTACGGAATGTGGTTCTGGTCCTCTTGCAAAAGTAGGTTGGTTTAGGGTTATTCTAGATGAGGCTCAAACAATAAAAAATCACAGAACTCAGGTGGCTAGAGCTTGCTGCAGCCTTAGAGCCAAAAGAAGGTGGTGCTTATCTGGAACACCTATTCAAAATACTATTGATGATTTGTATAGCTACTTTAGATTCCTGAAGTATGATCCTTATGCTGTATATAAATCATTCTACAACACCATAAAGGTTCCTATATCCCGAGATTCCATTCAAGGTTACAAGAAACTTCAAGCAGTTTTAAGGGCCATAATGCTACGTCGTACAAAAGGTGAATTTACTATATTCTGATTTCTCATGCACCAATTGACGATGGGTTGTACATGTTTACCTTTTTGCCGGTGGTATGGGTTTTCAGTCTCATTGCTAAATTCTCATTGATCTCTACTTAAGTCTAGATGTCAGTTTTGGTTTCTCACTTCATCTGATAAGGGGACTACTTATTCCTGCATCAAGAAAGGTAGCCACTTTGGTGTAGTGTTGCAAGCCCTTCTATAGCATATTAAAAAACTGTTTTTTGGGAAATCTTTTTTTCTCTTAACTTGCTCCACTGTAAGTTAGCTACGTGGGCTTATATTGGGTAGTTTTCGGATGACCTGCCAATGCAGGATCACACAGGGATTTAATCAAAGACCATAACATAAAAGCAGATCTGCTAGGATACTTTTCCTTCATTGCTGCTGGATTAGTGAATTTAATTTATTTACAATTAAAGTATAGTCTGTGCATAATATTGCATTGTCAGTCTGTTTACATTTTTTGGAAGATTTTCAGATGTTTTTATATGATGGAATTATTCCTTTTATTTACCGAACTCATCCCAATTTCTATTACCATTCCCACTGTGTAGAATGTAATAACTTAATCCTTTTTCTTTATGTTTGATTATGAATGTAATATTATTTGTTTTAGGGTGTGGACAGAACATTTCAGCCATCTAGGTTTTGATTTGTGTATTTGAGGCGAATTTCCCTTTGATTTATAGTCAAATATAGTATGAGTATTGGTCTTTTCTGTTATATAACATCAATTTATTGCATTTGTCTAGGAACTTTGCTTGATGGGAAGCCAATAATCAATTTGCCTCCTAAAACAATTGAGCTCAGTAAAGTGGATTTCTCCATTGAGGAGCGAGCCTTCTATACTAAGTTGGAATCAGACTCACGCAATCAATTTAATGTTAGTTCTTCAAATTGGTTTATATTAATACCAAGACTTTTTGTAATTATACTTTTTTGTTTCTTTTAAGTGCAACATCTATAAATGGCTTATATGCTTCAAGTTGAGGGGTAGTGTTATAATTATAAAATCAAGAATATCTAGATTAGATATGTATCATTAGGGACAGTTTAATTTATTCCGTATCATATATTTGTTATTAGAGGATATAAACTCTTCTTTATTTATTGTATTTCTTTTCTCAATATAAATATTGCACTTTGTGCTGTCTTAGAAACACGGTTTCATCTCAATGTTTCTCTCTTCTGTGGTGTTTAACAAAATTGATGTCAGATTATTTCTTATAGATGTTCTAAAATAACATTAAGATATTCCAATACATTTGGTATTTTGTGTGTATGTATATGTGTGTATATTCTCGAAATTCTAACAAGCTAATAGAATGAATCAAGTCCATCACACATCCTATTTAAGAAACTAGAACATAACACAAATACCTTGGATAGCACACATCACATACTGTTTGATCATATGTTTAGAGCACTCAGGTATAGGATATTTTTAATGGTAAAATTTTAAATTAATGTAGCTGTTGAGTCTTTTAATAACTAGTTCTGAAATGCATATGATTATGCAATTAATATAATTTCATTGGTGATTTTCTTAAATCTTGCATGATTACTAAATTGTTTTACTTCCATAAACAGGCAGAAGCTTCAGTTTTGTACTTATTAAAAGCCTGATAAGTGCATTTCTGTCAGATTCCCCACCTTGTTGCATGGGTGAATCAGTTATGGGTTGTCATACACTTAATATATAAGAAGTGCTGGGTTGGTGGGGTTTTTAAATTTCCCATATCATTCTTTGTATCTAATTTATCAAAATGTAGCATACATTTGTGTAAATTATAGAATTATTTTGGTTCATTTGATTTTTATATTTCTGAAGTATTGTGGATCTGACACTTAAAGCTCGTGCTTTGTAGGCATATGCTGCTGCTGGGACAGTCAATCAAAACTATGCTAATATTCTTTTAATGCTCTTACGTCTCCGACAGGCTTGTGATCATCCACGTCTTGTTAAAGATATTGATTCTGATCCTGTTGGGAAGGATTCTGTTGAAATGGCAAAAACTCTTCCAAGGGAATTGCTGATTAATCTGTTTAGTTGTTTGGATGCAACCTTTACTATCTGTCATGTTTGCAATGTGAGTTAAGTTCAGATGCTATATTTTTTGGTATTTGTGTCATTTGTAATGAATATGATGGTACTCTAGATCCTTTTGGTTATATCTTATATAAGTTATGGTGTTTTCTTCCTATATTGTGCGATTTTTAACATTTGGAAGTGGACTTTTAACTGAAATTTGTATGGGTATTTTTTTAGGAGTATGGTGCATTTTGCACTTCCCATGGACGTTGTTTGTTTACTAAATTGGGTTAAGTTGAACACCTGTGTTCTATTTAAGTAATGTGAATATAGTTATGAGTTTAGCAAAAGTTGTTGGTTTTTCAAAAATAGACATGTTTATTATCCCAAACAAATAAGAAATAGTTTTAGGGAAATGCTTTTCTATTTAAAGATGTTTTAGTAGTGCAGGAAAACATCCACAACTGTCAATTGCATCTCAATGCATTTCACACCTAATTATTTTTAATCTTAAGTTTACTGCTGTTATCCGTGTCTCAGTATTATTTTTTCATGCAACTGACATTTTTGTTGATAAAAGAAAAGTTCATTGAGATGGAGAGATATTATACAAGGATATTATCTGCTTTTTAGTGGTACTATATTTTATTGATTGAATGTTGTATCTATGTGACATTTATCATAATTGCTTAGTTGAATTTTGTTGGTAGTAGAGAATTATTAGGATAAAAATACCTTGAATATCTCCATATTGATTATGATAAGAAGTCTCTAGAATATTCATATTCATTTAAGCTTATTTTTGTTTAATTAGTTTAAGTTTGATTGTTACAAATAAAGGGGATGAAAATGTAATTTGTTTGATTATTGTCAATAAAGTAATTCTCTATTGCCCTACACAGTTCAAGTTGGTATTAGGGCTCCCCATATTGTGAGTTCTGTTTCCGCTACCACTTAACCCATTGACACAGCTGGTGTCTGCCCTGCCTCTGTTGTTGTTGAGGTTAATGGCAGCCTAGAAAGGTGCAACTCATATTGGCGATCACAATGTAGACAACTGTTTTGCCGACAGAGTTGCCAAATGTTGTCACATGCCCTATTAGTACCGGCGTGTGTAGCCCAAGCCCCTTGCTTTTTGATGGTCACTCACCCCTGCATTTACAGACAGGGTCATGTCCTGAGCCTATTCCACGGGGTACTGGCTTCCCTTTTGGCTCTGATCAGAGTAAATATGAGTTTTCATTTTGTGTCAAACAAGTCTTCTTTGTCATGTGATTCTTTCACTGTTTGTGGTAAAGTTCATCACATTGCAGTACATTTAGAGGATTCTCAAGGGACAGTCAAGATTAGAAAATGGTGGAGGGTTGATGTCCAATGTCTCTAATTTTGTGATTTCTTTGCTAAAGGGATATGTGATGACTTGAATAATACTTTTTCTTTGAAGAAGGATTTGTTGCATGCTATGAGATTGCGAGAGTAGGGTGTTTAATTCTTAACGTGTTTCCCTCTCTGCATTGGAATATTATAGAACTTTGAATGGGTTGTGGATTGAACTAAATCATTAGCACCAAAATTTGAGGATATACAAAATAGATGTCACCACACATGCTGAAGCCGTGAGGTAAAATCTTTAAATTCCTACATGAATATGACCCACCCAATAAACCTACAAATCTTAGGGGAACGAAAAATTACCTCGTCTACCAAAAGTAATTTCATTGTAAGGGTAGAAGAAACTTGGATGATTCTCATGTTTGAAGGAGGAGATACATGACTATTACCGACAATCCAATACGACATGATATGGGATAACAAATAGCAGACACTTACATTAATGAGCTACTTCAGGATAGATTCTAGGATCTTGTAAATAAGTTGGAAATGATGGATCTTTATTTACCGACTTGAGAGAGTAATATAAATAACAGATTATTGGGATAAAAATATCATCAACATCTCCATATTGATTAGGAAAAAATATGTTCAAAATATGTTTATTCATTTCAGCATCTTTGTATTTCTTTTTTTAGAGAGTTTAATAATTACAAATGGAGGTGATGATGAGAATGTGATTTGTGTGATTGGTATCACTAACATAGTTCTTTATTTCCCTACATACTTCAAGTAATTTTTAGATTTTGATTACTCATTTAACCTGTTATAATGGGTGGTAAGTGGTGATTTGATGTCAATAATGGCTCTGGCTGATATGCTCTATGATTTCAACAGGATCACCCTGATCGCCCTGTTATTACCATGTGTGGCCATGTCTTCTGTTATGAATGTGTACAGGAATATTTGTCTGGTGATGATAATACTTGCCCTGCTGTTAATTGTAAAGAAACAATCGGTGATGATCTTGTTTTCTCCAAAGTTACTTTGAAAAGTTGTATCTCTGATGAGGGAGGCACTTCTAGTTCTTCAAATTCACATCTTAGTGATTATTCGCAAGTGCAGCGGGATGATTACATTTCATCTAAAATCAAAGCTGTTCTTGAGGTTTTGCAGTCAAATTGTAACGTGAAAATATCCAATTCTGACTTACAGAACTCTGGATGTTGTAGAAATTCGCCGTCGTCTTCTGTTGATCTAGATGTTGATGACAGTGATTCAGAGGCTAGGGTTGCAAAACACACGAGAAAGTATTCAGGGTCTACAACCGAAGGATCGATAAAGGCTATAGTTTTTTCCCAGTGGACTAGCATGTTGGATTTAGTTGAGACATCATTGTGTCAATATGGTATAGTGTACAGGAGACTTGATGGTAGGATGACTCTGGGTGCAAGGGACAAAGCTGTTAGGGATTTCAATTCTGAACCTGAGGTTAGGCCCTTCCCAACATTGTTATAGCTGTAACTTTTATATGCGAATCAATAAATGGGATAAAGCAATATGAGAAACTATAGATAGTAGATGAAGTGGTATGAAATTTAATCCTCTTAATGGCTATATCAATCATGTTGTTACAATTTTAATCGGTATATTTTGCTATTACTTGGACTTCGATTATCTACTGTGTTTTAAGTGTTTCAATTGGCTGACTAATTGAAATTTGTTTCAGATAACTGTCATGCTGATGTCACTAAAGGCGGGAAACCTTGGTTTGAATATGGTTGCTGCTTGTCATGTTATTCTTTTGGATCTTTGGTGGAATCCAACTACTGAAGATCAAGCTATTGATCGAGCCCATAGAATTGGACAAACTCGTCCTGTTACTGTGACAAGGATTACTATAAAAGATACCGTTGAAGATCGGATACTGTCTCTTCAGGTACAATATCCGTCAGTTTAATTTTCTTATATGTGCCAAAATGAGTTCATGCATGGTGGCCATTTCGGATTTAGGTGAGCAGGAGTGATGTTTAGCAGCCAATCGGACTTTACAAGTCCCTAGTTGTTTTCGCTTTCACCTTTAACCTCCTTTTAATATTGCTTACTTTTGTTATTCATTAAACAAAATTGGACTTGCGAAATTAACAGAAGTTCTATTGTGGTTCAAGGAGAAAAGTCAATCTTGTAAAAAGTTAAGGGGAAGTTAGCACATGAAGTGATATTTTTTTAAAAAGGTTATTCATTTAGTAGGATTTGATATATATGGGAGGGGGGAGTTTGTGTGATTGAGATGAAGATAGATTGCATCTGTCAAATAAATTCTCATTATGATCTTGTGTTGTACCATTTGACAGGAGGAAAAGAGAAAAATGGTTGCATCTGCTTTTGGGGAAGACCATGCTGGTGGGTCTGGAACTCGCCTTACAGTGGATGATCTGAAATATCTCTTCATGGTCTAGACTCAAGACCTCTCCTTGCTTCTTCTTCTCATATGACGGATGGATAATTTGAAGTTTTGGTTTGTTTTGGGCGATTTGGCATGGAGTTGGAATGGTTGTTCTGAAGGAGGGTATGACTTTTTTTGGTGCCTGCTTACACCCTTTGCAAAATTTGGTAGGAGAGGCTTGGTTGATCCAAGTGGTAATTTAATCTGTTTTGAAGCCCACAAGGGCAATTTTGTCCTCCATGCTATTATATAGCTGAAGGCCGTCTGTAAATATTCTTATTAAATTATAATATGGTTTATGAAAATATGACCTTTTGTTGCAGTGTACAGTTTTCTAGCTAGATTTGAATTACTGATTATACTGTGGGTCGAGCTGTATAGATTGACCCACTCAATGTGGACTCTTATTTTAGAACAAATTCAAAACTTTAAATGAATATCATTACTGTTTGCAAAATTTAGAATTTTTATTAAACACCTTATTTATGTACTTGACATTGACGTGAATGGAAACATGTAAGGCTGAATTTGGTGCTAATAATCTGAGGTCCCAACAAAATGCAGAGAACAGAGACCTATTGATGGTTTGGTGGTGGCTCCCCTTCCCTCATCATCCAATTGCTCTACCAGTCTTCACACTGGGGAATCTCTATATGTGAAAGAAAGAAAAAGGAAAAACAGAAAAAGATGTCAGCAATGTCCACCCATCGGTAGTGAAGTTAAATCATTTCCCTTTGTGTAGGACATGGGCCCATCCCGGAGGCCCAAAAGCCCAGCGTCGCCAACGAACATTCCCTGGTTGCGGTGCCCGATTGCCACGTTTCGGATCAGGGTTCGTCCCAAGGTGAGTGTTTCAAGAGCGAATGTTCCCTTTTTGTGTAGGACCCGTCTCCGTAGGAGATTTCGTAGCGGCAGCATCCCTCGTGGCAGCCGGCGTTGTCCACGTGGCTGCATTGGGTGCAGGGTTCGCATTGGACCCATATAATGTCGCTGCCTGAGTCTATGACCACGTATTGGTTCCGATTCTGACAAAGTACTCTCCGCTTCCCTATTCCATACCCGAGACCACATCCGACCCGAATGCCTCCAAGTCCAAGGTGAGTTTTCCGGAGGCCAGGAGGCGGAGGAGGGCGGCGACCCTTCTGGCGTCTCGCTTTCTTTGGGCGTTGAATCGGGTCTGGTGGTGGTGGTGGGAAGTGTTAAAGGTGGGAACTTTGTCTCTGTGGACTAGTTTTAGTTTTGATTTTGTTGATGATGAATGAGTGACAGTGTTGGGTGTTTGGTGTTGGTTGGACGGTTGTTTTGGGTTTGGGGTTGGAATGAGTTTGGTTGTGGGAAGAGGAGATGCTTAGAAGGAATGAGAGGAGAAGCAGAACTGTGAACATGTGCTGTGTCATTCATTCATGTTTTATTTCTTGTTGATTGGACATACTATTTTTGTTAAGGGAATTGATAGTCTAATACATGCTTATTAACTATTTATTTTGTATGCATTTTTTGTCTTTAGTGCCACTGCAATTGTGTGTAATAGAAATGCTCAATGGCCAAATGACCAACCATGAATGTTACCATTTTTTTTTTACTTTTATTGAAACGTTGTCTTTCATTTACTAATGATGTTATTGTAAGAAAACAAGCTATTTTAACTGTGTAACGAAACAAAAAAGTAGGATTATAAGAATATTATATATATATATATATATATA